ACTTTAATTGACCTTAATGAAATTTTATTATTTCCTAATTAAGCAATGTTTTCATCTCTAGGGAGCAGAAATTAAGAAATTAAATAGAAGGAAGACCAATAGAATAGAGGAAGAGGATCAGGGAAGGAGGAGAGGAGGGAAAATACTAGGGAGTGAAATTAACCAAATTATGTTATGTGCATGTATGGATATATAACATTGCACTATTATGTTTAATTATGATGCACCCATAAAAAATTTGTGGTGGTGCATACCTATAATACCAGCTACCTGGGAGACCGAAGCAAGAGAATTAAAAGATGGAGACCAGCCTGGACAACTTAGTGAGACCCAGCTCAAGAAAGGGTTGGGAATGTACCTCAGTTGTAGAGTGCTAATCTAACATGTGCAAGGCCTTGAATGTAATTCCTACTGCTTCAAACAGGAAAAAAAAAAAATGAAGCAAAAATTAGTATTTTATATAAAATGTCTAGCCATACCTAAAATTCTAAACTCCTAGAAGTTCCTACCTTCAGGGAAGATAATCAAATTGTATAAAACTAAGGAGAAAGGAAAATTTTTATTTTGCCCTAGTGGTGAATGTCACTAAAAGACTTTATAAATCCTAAAAATTTGAATATTCATATTAACTATTATTTTAAACTTTAATACCACAAATATTTTGCTTTGTGTCTATTCTGTATATTCACTATTATTCTGCATACTTACATCACCCTCAGTTAAGATGTTTTGGTTTTATTGGCCTAATTTCAGATAAACATAAGTTAATTCCTACATTAAATGACTTGAGGATTATTGTGTTGAGGCTGTTCCTAACAACATTGTGTAGCACATAAGGCAAAGAAATGGTAGTTTTATACATGTTTTTGTCCTTGATTCAACAGCTCAGATTAATGTTAATGATTTTTATTCTAGGAATCACCTTTTAGAAACAGAAATATAAGGAATTTTAGTTCTCAATGTAGTATGTTATAGGGTGGCTTATAATGTAAAAGTACAAGGTTGTTCAAAAAATAGGACACTGGGATAATATAATATTTTAATTGTTAGTAGTAATAAAGGATACATAAGCTCTAGATTATGATTTCCAACTTATTTTAATTCATCTGTGCCTTTTTCATTGAAATGTTCACAGAATTGAAAACTTAATGGTTTAATTATATGAAGTTGAGATAGGTGCTGTCTACCCCATTTATATTGCTCTTTAGGTATTTGCTTTCAAAATTATGTATGTGTACAATGTACATAAGAGATGTTGCTGGAATTATGAATCTGTTCAGAGTTAGGAAGCTGATGTAGTAGTACCCCCCTTATCTTTGAGGAAAACATGCCAAGACCCCACATGGAGGCCTGAAACCATGGATAGTGCCAAACCCTACCTATGCTTTTTTTTTTTTTTTTCCTATACAGATATATCTATAAGAAAGTTTAATTTATAAATTGGGCACAATAAGAAATTGACAACAACTAATAATAATAAAATACATTATAATATTCTGAAATAAAAGTCATGTGGCTTGTCAGTCTCAAAAGAGTCAAGACAAAAATATTAATATTTGGGGACTTTGAGAAACTGAAACCACAGAAAGCAAAACCTCTAAGGAGAACTACTTTTTGTTTTAATCCATTTCTATACCATGATGTGTGGTATACAGAAGGGTCTCTATATCCTTTTTCATTATTTTCTCTTTGATTTTGTCTGTTCCTCTCTGTTGGATACAAAAAGGAACTTTAGGACAGGACCAAAATCCGAATATAAAATAAATCATTGTGGCTTTAGGTGTTTCTGTTTTGTTTTTTGCTTTAGGTGTTTTATATGTGGAAAGCATTGTCTTATCTGACTGTGTCACTTTTTGTTATCACTCACTATCTATATTATTGAACCAAACTCCATTTCAATTCTCATTTATCTTTTTTAAAAATGCAGTTAGTTAGCCAGGTATGGCAGCACACAACTGTAATCCCAGCAATTTGGGAGGCTGAAGCAGAAGGATCACAAGTTAAAAGCCATCCTTAGCAACTTAGTGAACCCCTTCCATCCCAAAAAAATATTTTAATAAATTTTAAAAGGGCTGGGGATGTGGCTCGGTGGTTAAGTACCCCTCTCCCCACCCCAGATTCAATCCCTGGTACCCCCCCCAAAAAAAAAAAAAAAAGATCTGGTTAATTATTTAAGTTCTTGTATAATGTTGAATTAGAAATAAACAATGTGTTGAAGAGGCAAATGGGATAAAATAAGAAAAAGTAAGAGATTAAAGAACCATTTTGAGGACAGATGCAGAGAATCAGTGTGACTGGAGTATTTCAGAAGGCCTGAAATTTGTGTCTGAAAAATGTTCAGGAAATTCTTGAGGCTTCCATCAGAACTTAGACCTTATCAACAAGTAAGTCTTATTTCTTTCTCCTTTGGGAAATACGCTGATTTTTTTGTTTCACTTTCTTGCCAAGTTCATGGGATGATTATTGTTTAATTAAGGAGAGTCTGGCTTGTTAACATTTTAAATGTCATCCACTCAGCTGATACTAAGGCTTGGAGCTTGAGCTTTTTGTCCTCTCATGCTTTTACCCTATTCATGCTTTAAACTTGGACTAAGAATGATTTTGAAAGCTAAGAATTTTATTTTTTTTAAACTAGGAAATTAATCAAAGTTATTGTAAGTTAGCCTGTTTGTAATGAATACGAAAGTTTTTGCTCATTTTGGAAATGGATAACTTCCAGAGATAGAAACCTAGAAGCTAGGAGTAGGTATCTCTTTATCTTTCTTTCAGGAAGCATGTTATCTGGCTAAGAAGATAACTTCTGTAAACAGATGATGCCAGGAGATGTGTTGCAGACAGTGGGTGAAGAAGGAGATACTATGGGAGGAAGGTTCATTGCAACTGAGAGAGTTAGGAATGATCCATAGATAGAGCAATTATCCATAGAAAGAGCAAGCAGGCAAGAACCCTGGGTTCTATCTCTAGTACTGGGGGTAGACCGAAAGATCACTGAAATAAGGGTGGGGGGAATGGGCAAGCAGGCTCCATTCTTGACCTAACAAGATGGACTGATGCATCCATTTAAATCAATGAGTGTAACTATTAGTTACATGTCTGCTTCTCTGACATAATGTTAGACCCAGTTGATAAAATGGGCATGATCCATTTGAGAGATTTTAGCCAGTGCGATAACTCTTTGCTGCCTCATTGCTTACAATAATTTCATAGAAAGCCTGTTGTCGTTTATCAAGATTGGCATCCTCTGTAGTCTTAGCAGTAAGATCTAGTGGATCTTGAAGTCAGACTGGGGCAGGTTCTAATCTGTAATCAAATCTACTTTTGCATGATACCTTTAAAGATTAGTATCCATTTCTGAGTTCAAGGCACACCCTTTCCCATTATGCTCATTTAAAGACAAACTCAATTCCACACACACCCACACACACATAGGATCTTTTCATATACCCATCCTGAGCTTTAACAAAGCTTCCTTTTCTGTCAGGTTTTAGTTGTCCAGGAGTGGTTCATCTCTAGATGCTCTCTGTTGGCTCTATGCGCTATAGGAAGCCCTTACAGAGGCCTCAACTTGCAGTTTTCAGCAGTTGACAGCATTTGTGCTGGCGCAGATCTGCTTTCTGCTTCACATACTGGAATCAAACATTCTTACTCATTTTTTGAACTAAAAAATCCTATCAGGAACCTAAACTCATCAATAAGATGACGAGTAAATATAAATTTTATTTTATTGTTGTTTGGCTGCTGTTTAAACCTGCCTCGTTATTTCCTGTGGTCACCAGTATTTCTCCCTCTTGGCTGCAAGCCAGAACAGTCTCTTAACAATTAAGCATTACCATTCCTCTGATGGGGACTGCTGACTCAGATGCCTTCAAGACTTGGCAAGTATACATAAGTAAGGGAACAGGCACTGCACACTGCAGTGTGCATCCCCAGAAGAGAGCAACCAGTCCCAGCCTGCAGCTGAGTGCTGGCCTCCAGGTCCATGTCTTTATGGAAGGAATCTGGGTTTACATAAGATGTGTCAGGAAAATAGTGTATATATTACTTCCTATTATCTTATGAATCTAGGGCTGGTGTGCCTGTGGGGTCCCACTTTGCCATCTCTCCTCTATAGTCACTGTCTTGGTGCCTTGTACAAAGGGTACTTTTAAGTGTTTGAATATCCCAGCTCTATTCTTTTTTACTTCCTTGTGGATAATGGATGTTTTATCTACATCCCGGGTAGGAATTCATAATCATCACTGTTCATGTTGGCTATCATGGTTTAAAGCACTATTTCAGGGAAAACAAAAGCAGGTGATAGTTGTACTCTGTCCAGAAGTTTTCACTGATACGTAACTCTCAGTTTTTATCAGAATTCCACCAGGCATTGTTGTAAATGCAATAGCATGTCCTACACTGGAATTTTTTTTACCATTTCAGACTAGAAAAGTTGTCTTATTTGTTATATGCCAAGACCAAATTGTTAGAATCCCTAAAATATCCAAATTGATGGAGTCCACTTTTTTTAAGTTCAATTTTTTGGAGTCCATTTGGTGGAGTCCACTTGGGGTACAGGTCTAGAAGTGGGATTTGTAGCAGGGTTATTAAAGAATTTGCTGGTAAGTGACATCTCCCTCAAATTTTAAAATTCAACTTCTTTACAACCTCAGTTTACAGCATCTTAGCTTAAAAATATGTTTTAAAGTAAAATTTGTCAAAAGGGAACATCTTGAACTTTCTATGAGATGTTATAGGGAATAGAAGAAAGGAATAGGGAAAAGCAGGGCTCAAAGAATGAGTCTTTGTCCTCAGACAAAGCCTCTATTGACTTACCATCTTTTGCAGGTTTTCATATTATGCAAATTAGACTTATTATACGCTGGGAGTAAAGCAAGTGTGACTATCTCACGTTATTGTGAATCCTTTCCAACCTTTATATTTCCCTGCCCTTATTTTTATAGATCATCTGAGCTTGAGTCTGGAAAAATGTTAGTCTTTCTCACCTTTATTATTTTCAATAGGTGGAATACATGTTGGTGTCTTTTGATCATGAAAATAAAAAAGTCCAGTTGGTCCTGTCTGGAGAAGATGTTCTTGAAACTTTACAAGAGAAGGGGGAAAGAACAAACCCAAAGTAAGTTGATGTGCTGAAGGCTTAGTGTTTCTGAGACTGTAGAACTACTAAGACTTAGCATCTTTTCTCAGATTTATAAAAGGCAGATGGCACAGGAGTTAAGAGCACAAGCCCTATTTCTATGTTGCCTGGGTTTCAAAATACTGGTTCCTCTGCTCAATAGCTGAATAACCTTTTACCAGAGAGTTATTTAACCTCTCTGTGCCTTAGTTTCCTCATCTGTAGAGATAATTCCTACATCTGAAATGTTGAGATTAAATTCATTAATATTTCAAAATACTTACACATTAAGCTAAACATTCTATTCACTGCTATTAAATGTTTTTTAAGAAATGCATTGCTGAAACATAATTGGGATCACACACCATAGTGCCAGATAAAACTTGCAAATGGATTTTGTGGCATGGTGTTTTTAAAACATTTATTTAAAAGCATAAAGAAGGTGAGAAAGTGTATACTCTCTAGTTCATTTTCTTCTCCATAGTTTTTGAGAAGCTGTTAAAAAAAAAAAAAAAGTTTAGACTCCCAAGTTTAAAATTGAAAGCCCTTAAGGCCACAGTTTTATTCCTGCAGAATAGATTAGCTTTGTCCTATGTAGTGAATGAGTACCCTGAGTGTGTTTTCAGTTACTTATAAATACTTTGAACCCCTTTTGAAAAGCTATAGAAAAATTAATAGCCTTATAAAGGAGTTCTTGGCTTTGTTTGTACCTAACAGCTTTCAAATTTTTAAAGCATCTTTAAAAACTTATAAAAATTAACTAGACTTCAGCAAAAGGATAAGATGAAATTAAAACTGTTTCTCCTCCGTAGTCATCCTACCCTTTGGAGACCAGAGTATGGGAGTTACATGATTGAAGGAACACCCGGGCAGCCCTATGGAGGAACGATGTCTGAGTTCAACACAGTTGAGGACAACATGAGAAAACGCCGGAAGGAGGCTACTTCTGTACTAGAAGAAAATCAGGCTCTTTGCACTATAACTTCATTTCCCAGGTTAGTTCCCATGTTAACATGTCTGAGCAGGTGTTTTAAAACTGTAGGTTATTAGGAAAGCAAATTGTGACCCTAAAATATGTCACCCTTCAATTCTCATTCTTTATAGACAGTTGAGACTTTATATACCACCATTTGGGCTGTCACATTAGAGCTGCAGCAAAAGTTACATTAGTTTTGGTCACTGGGTGGCAGCCTCACAGGATGCTGTGATGAGAGCGCTATCTTGACCAGTGGGAGATGTGGTGTGACTATGATGACCGACTGGCAGAGTGGAGGGAGCGCATGTCTGCTGAGCGCTTCTGACGAGCTAAGTCTCTGRGTGACTGTCAGGTGCTCTTCTCACTGGACTATAGCGGTCAGCCCCTCGGGCACATTCAAAAAGGATCATTTGCCCTCTATTATGTATCAGAGCATTCTTGGCCATGGAAACCAACCTCTCAAAGCTCATCTGAACTTTGAGGAGGTGAGCATTCTTTCACAATCTGATAGATCTCTAGCACAGATCAGATTTACGATCRGGCAGAACTGCATTCTTACACAGAGGTGCTGTGTTTAATAGGTAGGCTATTCATGCACCTCATTCTAAGCTGAGAACATGCCAGAGCAGTACTGGAGGACATCAGAGGGTCACCTGTGCCCTCAGTGTACTGTGGGTATGTCTTCACTGTGAGCAAGATGAATCACTTTTGGATATGGTGCTGGGAAGTCAACTGAATCAGGATTTGTGATCAGATCTAGTTATAACTGAAAGTACCTGAAAGGAAATATAGTAGTGAAATCATGTTTTCATCCTAGAATGAGGTGCATGAATATCCTGTCTATTAAACACAGTACCTCTGTGTAAGAATGCRGTTGTAACTGAACATAAACCTGATGTGTTTGTGCTAGAGATATGTCAGATTATGAGAGTACACTCACCTACTCAAGAGTTCAGAAGAGCTTTGGGACGTGGTTTCCATGGCCAAGAACACTTTGAGCTATTTTAATACCTCTTTCTTCTGACAAATGTCTGTAATGAACACAGACCTTCAGAGTCATACAGGTGATTTTAGAGAGACATTTAAATGGGAACTTTTTTATTAATTAATTTTGTTTGTTAGTTTTTGAGGTGGGGTCTCACTATATTATTCAGGTTGGTCTCCAACTTGTGATCCTCCCATCTCAGCCTTCTGAGTAGCTGAGACTACAGGCAAATGCCACCATACCCAGCCAGGAATTTTATTTTTTTAAGATCTAAATACAGAAGTGAAACCATAAGTAAATCAGCAAAACACCTGTAATCCCACTACTTGGAAGGCTCTGAAGTTCAAGGCCAGCCGGGGCAACCTAGCAAAACTCTTTCAGCAAGTAACACTTCAAGAAGTATCTCTTATTTTATGTGATTCCTTCATTCTACTTGCAACTGCTGTTTTCCTGCCCCCCACACCCCCGTCCCCCCCAAAAAGCCCTGAGTTTAGCAAGGGTAGACAGGTTTGTTTTGATAGCAGTTGGCACATTCCTTCATCCTAATGCAACATCCTAGGCCCTGAGAGCCTGCTCCACATCAGATCCAAGCTGTGTGGACACACCACCATGAACAGATCAGACAGGCTTTGCTCTGTGGAATTGGGGAAAGACAAAGATTAATGAATACCCACACATTTGATGAGTATAAATTAGGGAGGGCTGTGAGAGAGAGATGCGAAGCCCAGAAAGTGTGACATGGCTACTGATGAACTCTGGGATAGGAGAATGTTTCTCTGAGGAAAGATGATTGAAGTGATGTCCAAAGCCTTAAGAAGAGTTTCACTGGAGTGGAGAGCAGAGGAGTGTCCTGGGGAAGGGGAATGACATACACACAAGTCCTGGGAGAAGCCAGGCAAGCTGGAAATTAGAAGAAAGCAAGTGAGCTGGTTGTGACCAGGAAGCTGAGAATGAAGTGCAGGTGTGGTAGGGTGAGGCTGGGTGGGTAGGTAGTTCGTGGCCAGATCAGATTAACTAAGAATTTTAGTTATTATCCTGAAAGCAGTAGGAGGCCCAGGAAGGTGGGATTGGGTATACAGTATCACATTTTTGCTTCTCACCCTCCTATGGACTATAGCACGAGAATGGCTGTGGACAGGAGCCTGGGCTTACGAGGAGGCGTCTAAGAGGGCTGAGGGAACACCCTGGTGGCTTGGATAAGTGTGGCTGGAGGAGATGAAAACAGTGGATGGTTCAAAACTTGGCAAAGTCAGCCAATTGACTGGAAGAGAAGAGATGTCAGGGCTGTTGTTGTAGATAATTATTGTGAAAGCCTTAGAATAATAGAGTTGTGGCCTAGAAGCAGGCTGGATGTTATTTGACAACTTAGTGAATTTGAGAATTCAGGATCTTACATTTTTTCTTTTTCCCTGCTAAAATTAATAGCAACAAGGGGTTGTAACACAATCCAGAAATGTTTTATATTTTAAAATTTAAGAATATGTAGGTTTTTATTTGTTTCATAGCACTGGGGATTGAACCCAGTGRTGCTCTGCTCTGCCACTGAGCTACTTCCCCAATCCTTTTTTAAATTTTGAGACAGGGTCTTGCTAAGTTGCGCAGGCTGGCTTCAACTTGCAATCCTCCTGCCTCAGCCTCCTGAGTAGCTGAGATTACCAGAATGCTTTTACCACACCAGCCAGAATGTGTAGTATTGATAGGTGATGCTTTTAATGGGTATAGTATTGATGGGTGGTTTTTTCTGGGCCATAAAATATTTGGTTAAGTCCCACTGTATCTATTAGCTTAACTGAGAGTAGCTCATTGATGTTCTTTTAAAAAAGGTTTTGGCTTCTTGAGCCATTGTGAAGGGAGAATTGAGACAGGAATAGATTTTGTTGTAAAAATTTGTAATTAAAAAAAAAATAGCCATTAGAATGGAGGGTGTTTGGGGATTTGTAAACAAAATAAGAAAAATTATTAATCATTTAGTTCTTAGAAACCTCACTTCATATTGATAGTGAATGATAAAGTTACAGCCGCAAAAGAGAAAGGATGCTTTGTTTAAATGTAAGCAATGTGATTTTTCTCTGTAAAGAAGCAAAGCTCTGTAGTGTGGACCAGTAATCCAAAACAACAGACACATGACTATTTAAATGAATTAAATAAAATGAAATTCTGACTGGCATGTCATGCTGGCCTCATTTCAAATGCTCAGTAGCACTCATGGCTAGCAATCTCCACCGTGGTTTGGACAGCACAGGCATTAAACATTTCCATCATTGCAGACAATTCTGTAGGCAGACTCTGGTCTAGAAGGCAATACTGTTGGTGCCTGAGGATCCTATTGCAATTCTGCCTTCCCCTGCCTGATTTTCTTAGTAAGAAATCCTCCAGATTGTCATTTTATTCTTCTAAAGGACTTTTCCTAAAGTTGCAGGCTCACAGCAAGTGATACACACAATTCTCAGGATCCCTTACAACTGGAAACTGTTTTCCAGATAAGATCAGCCACTTCAGCAGGTACCTTAGGAAAGGTAGGAGTTAAAGATACGGTGTGGGCTAGTCTTGGCCCTCAAGTTAAAAGTTTCCTACACTGATCTAAAACCTAGACAAGAGCCTGCCTTGTTTTGCTTTCACTAATCTTGTTAGTCTTTTTCCTCATAGCACTTAACATTGACCTTATAGTTCCAAACTGGGAAGAACTGGTAGCCTTAATACAAGTGAGGTGGAATTTGAGCTTTACATTTAGGTACAAATTTGGAGCTTCATTTTTCTACATTGAAATTAGAGTTGTTCTTAAGGTCAAGTAAGATAATATGTTGGGTGACTTCAGAGTGAACTCTTGATGGTAGATGGGGACACCAGAGACACTGGCTAAACTAGAAGGGTTCCTGAGTAGACTGTAGAAGCGAAAACCTGGAGATCACCTCCAGATTCAGATGAAGCCTATCAGGAGGTTGGGACAGGTGTTGTACAGGCTCAAAAGATAACGTGAGTTTAGCTGATGAAGGCCACCATGGAAGGTGGGTATGGGTACCTGTAACCAGAAACAACATCACCAAGGAGAGTAACTTCCATGCTATCAGTCCTCAGAAAAACCTAAATAAATATTATATAGATGTTGAGTGAGTAGAGACTCAAAGTCACTGACGGGCTGGAATCACAAAAGCAGGTTCTAAAGCAAGGTGATGAAGAACAGGGAGTGGTAGTTAAGGCATTGCTCTGGGGATCACAAAACCTGTGCTAGACCCTATAAAGGAAAATAATAGAAATGAGTATTTTTAACAGATGCAAATTATAGCAAGACTATAGGCAGTTAATTCTCATCTGATTAGTTTTCAATTTGTTGTAGATTAGGCTGTCCGGGGTTCACCCTGCCTGAGTACAAACCCAACCCAGTTGAAGGAGGAGCTTCCAAGTCCCTCTTCTTTCCAGATGAAGCAATAAACAAGCACCCCCGCTTCAGGTGAGTATGTCTGTGTTGAAATGCCCCTCTGAGTATTAGCCTGGGAATCTGCTTTGAGCTGTTTCCTGAGTCACACAGAAGGCAGCAGATATGCTTCTGCTCACACCTCAAAGCCAATAAGTGTTGCTTCTTGCATCCAGGTTTGATTTGTTCATTTTCCAAGTCATCTTAAAATGCATAAGTTTAGCTACTGTCCTCTTTTAGTGAGCAGATTGTTTCCAGTCCTAGTTCTATAAACAAACTGATTTGGGGACATATTTCCTTCAGTTATTCCTATCTTTCCCATCTCTAAGTGATCACCAGGAGCTGTGATCTACTTATCTCATTCTGTATCCCATGACAATAAGGCAAAACCTGTACACCACCTGGCATATGTGAGTCACACTTCTCCTTCGGTTCTGCTAACTTCTAGCTCTGTTATATTGTAGTTGAATTTTTCACTCTGTGTGGGGGTGGGGGTGGGGGTGGTACTGGGAATTGAACCTAGGGCCTCACACATGTTGAGCACATATTCTACCAATGAGCAGCATCCTGCCTTTGGGAGTTTAATTCTTAGGTTTTTAAATTGCTTCAGGGACTACGCCAGCTTGGCTTTGTATCTTTGAGTACTTGATAGTATCCTGAGGAAAGTTTACTGATCCATGGATGCTGTGCTCATTCCGTTAACAGGCATCCATATCTGCTACATGCAGAATCTTTTGTGGGAGACAGGTTTTATAAACATAGTTTCCAATTTCAAGTGTTGTCATGTGTTTAAAGGAACATAAAAATATTAATCTGCAAAAAAAATAGATTATGACAGGTGTTGAAAGATGGCAGCACCAGAGATTCTCCTTGGAGAAAAGAGGGTGCTTCTGACTGAGGGGATTAAAGCAGGATTCATGGAAGAGGTGGTTTTAGCTGAGTCAGTCAACACCTCCAGTAGAAGCATATACTGCGAGCTGCAAATGTAATTGTAGATTTTCTAATAGTTATGTTAAAATTAAAAAGAACTGAACATGATTTTATAAAATATTTTATTTAAACCAGTGTATCCAAACTTATTTCAACATGTATTGGGTATTTTTCAATTATTAAGAAGAGTTTTTACTTTTTTTTTTTTTTTTTTTAACCAGATGTTCAGACTCTGGTGTGTATTACTCTCATAGTGAGTTCAATTAGGTCTGGTCATATTTTAAGTACTCAGTGGCCCTAATGCGTCTGGTGGCTTCTGGATTAGACAGCCAGCATGGGTCTCAAGGTTGGGGTAAGGGAAGAGTAGGCATTGGGGCTCCAGACATGTCTTGGGAAATGAATATTTAAATTTGACTATAATCTTTGTAATTAATGTGGTAAGTGTTAGAAACAGAGWGAATCAGCCCATGCAGACCTTCAACAGCTGATCTTGATTTGGTGAATAACTGGAAGCCTTGAAAGTACAGGGTTGAGCAGGGGAGAAAATGGCATTCTCAAGTAAGAACCAAGGAGTTAATATAATGCAAAACCTTCTTTCAGAAAGTCCCCTTAGACTATCTTGACACATGCATTTTCTGTAGGATTATCTTAGAATATTAGTTTGAAGTAGGATTTTATTCCATTTTCAAGTTGTTAGTGGTCAAATTCTTCTTATATATGATGGAGCTTACGTAACCAATTTATGACATTTGGTTGTCTGTTTTAGTACCTTAACAAGAAATATCCGGCATAGGAGAGGAGAAAAGGTTGTCATCAATGTACCAAGTAAGTCTACAGAGAGGAGGTGGTGTGGGAAAGAGACCTCTTTAATCCTTGATTCTCACCATTTCCTTTTTTTCTCCCCTTATTAATAATACAGTATTTAAGGACAAGAACACACCATCTCCATTCATAGAAACATTTCCAGATGATGAGGCAGCAAAGGCTTCCAAGCCAGATCATATTTACATGGATGCCATGGGATTTGGGATGGGAAATTGCTGTCTTCAGGTATTGTTTCAAATCTATGGAGAGGCAAAGTGTCCTCACCCATTACTTATTTACTTATTTTCTTTATATATGCATGTCTTCCTGTTTTAAAAATCACATTTTAACTAGATTGAAATAGCAGCTGGTATGCCTTTCTAGAAAGTATTGAGATTGTTTTATTAAATTCATTTAAATTTTTGACCAAGAATTCCGGAGTCTACAGTTCACCACAAAGGTATATAGTGTTAAAACGCAGAGCATCTCTGATCATTGTCTGCATTCTCTTTATATGTCTGATTTTTACTGCCACCTAATGGCAGAGTGGTGAGGTTGTTAACCTCAAATCTATTATTTCTGAAAATGAGCTGGGATATAACTACTCCAGTGAATTTGTGATCCAAGGGAAAGACTGTTTGAACTTGAAATTTTTGTATTCATACAAAGCCACCCAGTAGTATAAATGAATAACTATTTATCAACCTGTGTTTGCCTTGCCCTGGCTAAGTTACACAGGAGGTAAAATAGCCCTTCTTCATTTAAAAATTTTCCTGGATCTGATTGAGTCACTGATGCTCCTGGCAGTGATTGTGCTCAAGTCACTCTGGACCCAGGGAGGGAGAGCACAGGGCCTGTCACACATGGGTTTGCAGTCACTTGTTGGCTCTTGCTGTGCAGGTATCTGGGTGACTCCCTTCATTTCTCCTCAGTTTTTTTGTTTTCAGTTGAAAGAAGGGTTTATGTTAAGGCCCTTTTGGTCTCACTCTTGTTTTATTTCATTGTTTTATTAATAAAAACTTGATTTTAGCTTTAATTTGACTAAAATCATATTACAGCAAGAGTAAAAAGTTGTATAAAGCATGAATTTTCAAATTGAGAATCTCAAATTTCATTCAGTGTTTGTTGCCCAAGCAGATTTTTCTCCAGTTGTAATTACTTCAGCTGATTAGAGAGTCTTTAGGAGTCTGCAGTAGTGCAAAACCTAATGGCTGTCAGCACAGAGATCAAGAAACCCAGCTTTCTTCTTACCTCAGCACATCTCTTGTCTTCTTGCCCAAATACCTCCAGCTTGTTTATTTTTAAAACTGTATAACACAACTTGAATGTGCAGGTCATTTTTCTCCAGGCTGATTATAGTTAACATGGACAAGCATAAGGTTTTTTCTTTTTCTTTTTTCCTTCTCTTTTTTCCTGACATATAAGGCATAGGATTTGTGGCATMAGCTTTTAAACAAACAAGGGCCAGTAAGTTTCCTTACAAATGGTTATACCTAATTTAAAAAGAGACCCTTTGACTTTTAACTGCATATCTGCTTTCCTATCTTAATTACAAATATTTCTAAAGAGAGCCATTAAGCTCAGGCACTTATAGTGTGTGGCTTTAAAATTGTGTGAGTGCTCTCTAAGTACCATTACCTTTTCTTGGTTTAATAATAAACCAGGGTGTTCCACCAAGGACAGCACAATTGCTCTGATATAGTTCCAAAGGTGTATTCTTTCCCTTGAAACACTGTATTTGTACAAATAAATGTGCTTTAATGGTAGGTGATATAAACATTTTCATTGTGAGAAGATATAGCTGTCTATCCAATTTAAGCTTTGTCATGAGTTTAGTATTAAGCTTTCCTTTTTCCAGTGACATGTCCAGTTTCAATACTCCATTCAAAAAAATGATTAACACAGATAATGTTTAGTATGTGCCAAGTGAGGTGGATTCCACAAATAGCCACAGAAATTGCTGCTTTTGTATCTTAAGTGAAACAAGAAAAATTGTTTATTATAGTAAAGAAGCAAAAAAAAAATAATTTCAAAGTTAATTCTTTTTTTTTTTTTTTTTTTTTTTACTAGGGATTGAACTCATGCTATTTATTTTTTTATTTTGGGAAGAGCCTCAGTAAGTTGCTGAGGCTGGCCTCAAACTTGCAGTCTTCTTGCCTCAGCCTCCTAAGTCACTGGGAATGCAGGCATGCTGCACCACACCCAGCCTTACCATAATTTTTTAAGGTTAATGGAAGACTTACTGTACAAGACAAAAAAAAGCATTTTAACTACAAAATTTTTAATACTTCCTGGGCTTTTTATGAAACATTTAATAAGTTCCTGACATGTTATGATAGTTTTTTTTTTCTGCCTCAGAAAATCATGTGGCTTCAAAAATTTTAGAAAAGGTTTCTGACATCCACTTTTCACAGTTCTTCCTTAGTCACCCCTCTTGTCAGTTTCCTAGTGACATTGTGTTTCTTCTTTATATGATGCAAGGACACCAAAAGGCCAGTTGTAGTGCACATACCTGTAGTCTCAGGAAGAAAGAGACAGGAAGATCACAAATTTAAAAGCCAGCCTCAGAAACATAGTGAGGTCCTAAGCAATTAGTGAGATCATGTCTTTAAATAAAATATAAAAAGGATTTGGTTCAGTGATTAAGCACCCCTGGTACCAAAAAAAAAAAAAGATACCAGAAGCCAAAACTGTTTATATATTCATACCTTTTTAAGTTATAAGAGCTTTTTTTCTTTCCCCATTAAAACCATCATTATGATGATGCTCTGTTAATTTGATAAACTTGTTGTATCAGTTCTAGAGTAAGAAAGGTCATTATAAATGTATTTTAAGTGACCAAAATAACTTAGTCATGGCACGGTTGTAAACTGAACTATCAAATTCCATTTGATGCTTAAGTAGACTTTTCTAGGGTTGGCTTTTTCAAGATTTGCCTAGGGATTTACTAATGTGTCCTAGGCCATCTCAGAGTAGTCAATCAAAACACGGGAAAGGAAAAGTGTTTATCATAGTGTCTTTGAAAAATCAAGAAGAGTAACTAACACATTCTAAAATATCATGAAAAGGACCTAAGAAAACTAAAAGATGTATATTCAACAGAATTCTTTAGCCAAAATACTTCAAGATTTAGGTATTGAAAAAATCTCAATCCCTTGTAAATTTGGCCCTTTAGGATCATGGTTTTCCGTGTCTCAACATTATCTTTGCCCCTGTCTTCTCTTTAGCAGCTCTTTCCTTCTCAGTACTTTTGTTAATTTAATAAATATTTTTAAAGCAGTAAGTAGGTGTCAGATACTGTCCCAACATACTTGGTATCCCAACATACTTGGACTATTAGGGCAAGACAGATCCCTCCTGGTGCTTATATTTAAGTGATGTGGTCACAACAAACAAATACACGAATACTTTATCATCATTTTCTTCATGTTTAATGCTCACCACACACAAGTTAATTTCTCAGTTTCTACTTTGCAGAAACTTTCCTTGCTCTGGTTGTCAGTGACCCAACTGCCAGTCCCCCTTTATCTTTATTTTAACCTTTGAAACTCCTTGATGTCATTAACACAGCACTAATCCATGTTGAATTAATCTGTAACAGCTGGTTAATTATCATTGCCTTTTAATGGAACTAATGTACCAATTTGAGCATTGACATAGGAATTATAGGAAAGTCAAGAAATATAAATTGTTTTAAATTATTTTTGTAGTTACCATACTGACATAAAATTCAATTATAATTTAGCAGGTATACTTGTGAGTCTCCCACAAAAGTTTTCTGCTCTTATAATGCAAAGTTGGGACATAGCTGAAATTGTTGGAATTAATGGATTGAGATTGTAAACATAAACCATTTAGCTGCTGTATTTCAGCTCTTAAGCATCTAAGTTATTTTCTGCACCAACACTGAACTTAAGCTGTCATTACTTAATAACAGTAGTGGAAAAAAAATAAAGCAGTTCCAAATTTGCAATGAAAAATATATTAATAGAAACACAATTCGTGTTCCTGCCCCTTCTTCCATGACCACCACCCTTCCCCATGGAAGAAGGCAGGACATGTTTTGGCTTCCTTTGGGTGATTATTTTAGAGGATTTGTGCTCACCAATTGTGTGATCTTTTTCTCTAACTTTTCAGTGTCCTGCTTATCCTTCCCATGGGTCTCCCTATCTTCAGGACATGGTCTGACTCTGCTCCCCAAGTATTTCTTCAGCTCTGATTTCTCCCCTGGACAACATTCCTGGAGACCTAGCCCCTCATAGGGCCTCTATAAGCTAATCATGTCATTACGCACCCCCTTCTCTGTAAACTTTTCTTATATGTCCTAAAAACACCTCAACGAAAACCTGAGTCTTCCCATCCCTGTACCATGGTTACCAGAGCCTGCTGCTTTGATTTGTCACTCCTTTGCCAACCTTCCCCCAGCCCTACTGATTCTTCCGTGTCAGCTCTAGGGTTTTAACTGCTTTCCCTTCTTTCTAGTCTTGCCCACTTTCAAACCTTCCTTTTCCTGCTACCTGTGTACTTTTGAAAATATTCTTTAGCATCTTCAAATCCCTTTTATATCAAAATTTCAATAAGCCCTCTGCTAACTGCAGTGATGGGAAACCTATAGAAGGAAACAATCCAGAAGAGGAAATGCCTTGCTGAACTTCACCATGCTGCCTGTGTCTGATTTCTCTTCCTAACTTCTTAGTCTGTTTCACTTAGGAACATGGTTGTTTATGAGTTGTCCATATACAACAGAAGATGAATTAATACCATTTTCTAGTTAAATTCACCCAAGACAGCATTGAAACAAAACTCCTGCATTAAACATTGTCATTTTCTCCAGCCATCTTCCTTCTCAGACTTTACTGCTTGGGAAGAACGCTGGGGATTTTTTAATTGTTGTTAATAACTTGCATTCTTCACAGGTGACATTCCAAGCCTGCAGCATATCTGAGGCAAGATACCTTTATGATCAGTTGGCCACTATCTGTCCAATTGTTGTAAGTAGAAAGTATATCTTATTTTAAATGTAACTTTGTATAAAATAAGACCACATGTGCAGAATTTGCTGATAGCATACTATTTAAGTCCAGTTAAGACTTCATTGAGAAATGAACTAATTTAAATAGTATGTAGATGTAAAGCTAATGGATAGTCTAAATTGTAGACTCTTTCTTTTCCTAGTAAAACATGTGTTTGTTAAATAAATGTCAAGTTTGAGGGTGGCCATTCTCCCTCTCCCATTGTGCCCTCATGTTATATAGAGGATAATTTAAATGAATCCAAAGACTTGGGTTGTTCCTGGTATTTTCACTTATTTTGAAAAAGCAGGCTTAGATGCATATGGTAGAACTCACTGTGGATTACATAAACTGGTCTTTTTGATCAGAAAATGAGTGCATGGGGCTTTTTTCAATGTAAATGATACATTGAACCTGCAGGAGCTGACTTTTGTTTGTTTTTAGATGGCTTTGAGTGCTGCATCTCCTTTTTACCGAGGCTATGTGTCAGACATTGATTGTCGATGGGGAGTGATTTCTGCATCTGTAGATGATAGAACTCGAGAGGAGAGAGGACTGGAGGTGGGAATGATTTTTCCTTCATAGCTCTTTTAAATCAAGCAGGTAAAATGGGTTATTGTAACCACTTGCAATTTTGAAATCTCTCTTACATTTTTATCTTGAGTGGATTAGGGTCACACATAGGAAGAAATATACCATCTTTGTTTTGGGGTAAATATATGGGGAAGTGATTTGGTTTGGGGAGTCAGCTTTTATCATTTGTTGAAATCTGGGTTTGTTTTGACTTAAAAAAAATAGTACATTTTGGAAGTCATTGCTGATCGGCGACTACTTTTACCAAAAGGCTTTGGAGTGCTTCATATAAGATGCTCTCCTCTGTGGAAGAGTAGTTTGCTGTCAGAGATGGTTTTTCCATGTACAGGGTGAGACATTTCCTGGTAAACATAGGTTAGTACTTCTTGTTTGCATGTTGAACTGTAACACTGTATCACTCCAAACAAGAGTGTGCTCCACAAACACCTATGAAGATCTTTAAAAATAGGTACTCAGGTTCCTCTTCGACTGAGTAAATGGGAATCTCCAGGACTGGGACCTGGGATGAGAACAAGGGTGTTTTCAAAGAAGCCCCTACCCACCCCTGCCCTGCCCCAATGATTTTGATGTTTTCAACCAGGCTGTTCTGCTGTGGTCTTTATATAATTATCACAAATTATTAAATATGCTGTCTAAATAGAAGTAAACATTTTATATTTTGTTATGTATAAAGTATATTTTTATATTATTAATTTGATGTTAATTTTTTGTGGCATTCATTCATACTTTTTATATTTTAGCCACTGAAGAAGAATAATTATAGGATTAGTAAATCCCGATATGATTCAATAGACAGCTACTTATCTAAGTGTGGTGAGAAGTACAATGATATCGACTTGACCATAGATAAAGAAATCTACCAGCAACTGCTTCAGGAAGGTGAGTGTTCCTTCTGTTTTTCTAGGTTTGATTGTACGCCTTTTGTCTTCAAAGCACTTTTAAACTTCTTTTCTGACTCGTGGTCTGGTTTCTATTTTTAGTGTGAAGTCTCTAACTTTTCTTATGAGGCTGCTTGTTCCTAAAGTTTCAAGTTCCAAATACTTGTGAGATCTTCTTGACTTTTAGCAAAAGGAACTTACTTTGGAGCTCTGTATCTAGGTCCACACCAGTGCCCCAGCAGGCATTGTGTAAGTAATGAATAAATCTCTGACTCTTCCCCAGTGTCCATAGGATAAAATCCTGGGCCAGGTGAGAATTCTGAACAATCCAGCCATTTCCTAAACTTCTAGCACCCCTTCTTCATACTGTGGACTTAGAACAAGTGGTGTCTCATGCTTTGCAGTTAGCCCTGTGTGCTCTGTCTTTGCAGGCATTGATCATCTCCTGGCCCAACATGTTGCCCATCTCTTTATTAGAGACCCACTGACTCTGTTTGAGGAGAAAATACATCTGGATGATGCCAATGAGTCTGACCATTTTGAGGTATCACCTCTTTTTTAAATGTATTTCCCTTCAAGAGGCAGTTTTCTTAACTATGAGAAATTGGTGACAATAGAAATCTCATATGCCTTTTGTTACCTAGCATAGTGAACAACCAAGAAAAATTAATTGGTTTTAAGTATTCTTACTTTATGAAAATAAAATCAATCACAGTTATCCTGTGATCATACATTTTTGTTTGGTATTTTCTCTTTTTTGCCTAGTGATAAAAAAATTCAAACATACTCCACAAAAAGTAACCTGGTCCGTTACTTCAGTGCTGCAGACATCACTGACTTTTACTATACACCTGCTGTTTGGTTTCCTAACAGGTCACACTCAGTAAAATCTTAAATTGTCGTTTTTGTATTTGTAAATTGAAAGTATTTGACATAGACAATGAATAATTTTCTTCCCTATTTAAATACCAAATTATTATAATGTTCCCCTGACTGCAGAAAGTTGATTTTATCCTCTACTTTTTTAATTTTAGAATATTCAGTCCACAAATTGGCAGACAATGAGATTTAAGCCCCCTCCTCCAAACTCAGACATTGGATGGAGAGTAGAATTCCGACCCATGGAGGTGAGACACATGCATCGGCAGGAACTGACCCTAAGCTCTCTTCTGACTGCTTTTCACTCTTCTGGTACTCTTGCCATAGGCTCTTAAGTTTCTTATAAGGCAATAGAAATTGAGAATGTGTCTGTTAAAAGTCAGTCAAAATGCTAAGGAAGGTTGATTTCTGAGCATAGATGTGGGCAAGGAGTTTCTAGCCCTAGATGGGGAGGGATGGGTGGCTTGGGAATATTGTAGTCTGAAGAGGTACTAGAGAGAAGGAAGACCAGAGCTRGGTTGTTGGTCTCTTAACATCTCTGGGCTTCTGCTTGTCTAGGTGCAGTTAACAGACTTTGAGAACTCTGCCTATGTGGTGTTTGTGGTCCTGCTCACCAGGGTGATCCTATCATACAAATTGGATTTTCTAATTCCACTGTCAAAGGTAAGGATGTAGTTTATTATAGTCCTGGATGTAGATACTTGCACTTGTATTTACTCATTTATTTATACCATGTATTTCCAGCCTTACTCTTCAGGATAAAATGCCCTTTTCATTTCCTTTTAAACCTAAGCCTTATTTCTTTTCTTTATCTTTTTTTAAATTTCTTACATACATGACAATAGTGGAATGCATTACATTCATAATTATCCATTCACAGCACAATTTTTCGTAACTCTGTATATAAAGTATGTTCATGGGCTGGGGATGTGGCTCAAGCAGTAGCGCGCTCGCCTGGCATGCGTGCCGCCCGGGTTCGATCCTCAGCACCACATACCAACAAAGATGTTGTGTCCGCCGAGAACTAAGAAAAAATAAATAAATATTAAAAAATTCTCTCTCTCTCTCTCTCTCTGTCCTCCTCTCTCTCTCACTCTCTCTTTAAAAAAAAAATAAATAAATAAAGTATGTTCATGCCAAATTATGCCATTATACATGAGCTTTTTTTTTTTGCATTACAATTCTTAAGCCTTATTTCTAGAGGTTTCCATTCATGACAATGACTGGAGGCAGCTCTAGAAATTGGTTTTATCTACCCAAGAACCCCATTTGTATGACAATGTTAAAATTAGAATAGGAAGGGAAAGAATAGCTGTTAGAATGCAGGAAAGGTTTTCCTCAATTGAATCAAACTTGTCTGGAGTATGTAGATGGCATTGGACTATCAGAAAAATAAACTGGAGTTAATCAGCCCCAAGACAGCTATGACCAAAGAAAGAGCTTCTTGGAGGAAGTTTTCTAGCAGAGCTTTGGAAGCTGTGAGGCAGGAAAGCCATGTGTCTGGGGGCAGCCGCTAAGGAAGTTGAGGTCTTGTGTTTCTGGGCCCATGCCCAGAAACAGCAACGATGCCTGTCACCACAGACATAGAGGAAAAGCATGAGGCTATTCAGCTCCAGCCTTTGCCCCAGGAAACCCTTGCTCTCTGGTCCTCCCATAAGGGGCTTGCCAGCTTACACCTGTCCCCTCTCACATGCACTCTGGCTGTTAGCCTGTCTGTACCTGTGCATCATGCCCAGGCAAGAGGTACCCTCTAGAGTTCTGTGTGCCCATGTTGCCCTTATTGGTGTATGTGTTGGGGAAGTCAAGAGTCCTCCAAGGGAGAGTCCATGTCAGCTACTAGCCTAAGCTGTTTGTTAATATGAGTAGATGTCTGAAAGCCAACAGAAAGTTGAGAACCATCAGCATCCTAATGAGAAGGTCCAGCCAGGCCTGCAGTGGTACTGTCCTCAATGAAACAGTTAATTTAAGAAACTGGAAAGAGTTCATAAGGAAATTCTGGTTATTGTATTCAGAAAATTCTATGGAAAGGGTTGATTTCTGAACACAGATGAAATCCATAAAATAAATAAGATCTATGGACCAAAGAGTATTTGAACCATAAAAGTTCCACACAAACACTTTTAAAACTCAGTGTGCTCTCCAGTAAAGCAGGTGGGTTGCTAGGGACAGTTAATGACTTCAGAGACCAAATTCTTGAAATTGTGGAATAACTGAATCATGGAGAATTGCACTAGAAAGTATCAGCGTTTTGTCTAATAATTTAGAAGACGAGAATGGTTTATATAGAAGAGATGTGAGATAACAGTAATCAAGGAAATAATGGACAGAGCTTTCCCTTAATATAGGAGTCCATAAGAATGAGATAAAAGATTTGGGGGTGGGGGGTGGTACTTGAGGTTAAACCCAGGAGCATTCTACCTCTGAGGTATATCCATAGCCCTAGCCCCTTTTTATCTTATTTCAAGACGGGGTCTTGCTAAATTTCCATGCTGGCCTCAAACTTGAGATCCTCCTTCCTTGGTCTCTTAAATAGCTTGGATTATAGACATGAACCACTGCATCAGTGGGACAGAGATATTTAAAGAAGAACCCAAATATGGGAATTTCTGGATCTCAAGGAGAATATCATCTGTCCAGACAGAAGAGAAAATTAGGATACCTGCCAAGGAGGAAAAATAACAGAAATGACTTCTCCTTTTAGCATTAAATGCTAGAAGAGATGGAAAGAAGTCCAGAATCTTGAGCAGTAAAGAATTATGACTATTGAATTCTCTCCCACCCAAATTTTCTTTGTATTCCAGGGGATTTTAGCAAAACTTCATGGGTTAATTTAAGACTAAAAGCATACCAGAAGTCTTATTGAGTCTTAGTCTGTTAGGGCTGCTACAACCATAAAAAATAGAAATTTATTTTTCACTGTTCTCAGGGCCAGGAAGTTTAAGATCACCAGGCGATTCAGTGTCTGGTGAGAGTTCACTCTGCTTCTTAGCTTGCATCTTGTCACTGTGTCCTCACTGATGGACAGGACTAGCTTGCTGAGCAATTGCAAAATATACTTTTAAACAGGAATTTATGAAAACAAATTAAAACCAGTGGTCCATATGAACTTTTGTCAAGACTAAGGAAAAAAAAAGTATCATTAGAAATGAAAACCTTAGAGGGAGCTATAGTGGAATTTGAGACATGTGAACATTGCTCCTAGAAGTGTCTAGTTTATTCGAAAGGTGCTGTGTGACTTAAAAATAACAAGACAGTAACAGGTCCCCTCTCCCATAGTTAACATGGGAGAATGCAAAGARTCAATACAGATTGTACCAACCATCCTGCTTCACCCTGGCCCTCTAACTTGTGTCTATTTTTATATTAAGGTTTCATATAAGATAGCATTATAGAAAATAAGGGAAACACTAAGAAGCTTTAGAAGGTCTGCTTGAAGGGTCTTAAAAAGTCACTGGAGAAATTTAGAATTCACAAATAAATAGGATATTTTCAGCCTCATGAATGAGTCTGTGTGGTTAGAGCCACCAGGTTGGCAAATAGCCCAGTGACCCTCTGCCCTTGGAGGGCCATAAACTTATCCCAAGTCTGACAGCCTGTTGACCCTTTCACTCTCCTTACTCAAGTGAAGCAACAAAACCCCAGGGCAGAGAATAGAGAGCATTGCATTGGAGGTCAGGGGAACTGGACTCTAGCCCTGTTCTGCCTTCATTGCACTGGACCTTAGGAGAGCTGTTGTGTAAAGGGAACCAACCACCTGCCCTTTCAGCACTGTAGATTTATGGCATGATCATTCACAAAGATGTTTTAAAATGCAGGTTTCCTGTGTGACTATGTTATCTCCCATTGTATTAAAAAGCACAAACCTGTTGCATGGTGGTGAGTGACATGACCCATATAGATGAGAGATGTATTCTCAAGGGCCAGAGAGTAGAGTTCTCATGGGGAGGAGCAAGGTTCTACAACCTCTCAAGAGTGTCTTGACTTAGTCATGATTCTTTTCTCCCTTAGGTTGATGAAAACATGAAAGTAGCACAGAAACGAGATGCTGTTCTGCAGGGAATGTTTTATTTCAGGAAAGATATTTGCAAAGGTATTACGTTTTCTCAGATTTCTGAGGTCAGTTAATGCTGTTTCAAGCCACTAAAGCTCCTCTGCCCTGTCCTCCACAGGTGGTAATGCTGTAGTGGATGGGTGTGGCAAAGCCCAGAGCAGCTCGGAGCCGGCTACAGAGGAGTACACCCTCATGAGCATAGACACCATCATCAATGGGAAGGTAAGGTTCCCTCAGTGCCCCTTGCTATGTTACCAGCTGGCTGGGCATTCATAATGTGTCCTGCTTCTTGTAGGAAGGTGTGTTTCCTGGACTCATACCGATTCTGAACTCTTATCTTGAAAACATGGAAGTGGATGTGGATACCAGATGTAGTATTCTGAACTACTTAAAGCTAATTAAGAAGAGAGCGTCTGGTATAGTAACTTCCTTTTCTTTTTCTTAATCTCATAATGTAGACAGAACAGACTCTTACATTATTAGATTCCTGAAAGTACCCTTTAAAGTAGACTACATCTTATCCATGCACACTTTTTCACATTTTAACAACTCTGCAATTGGATATGCCTTATAATCTCTGGCAATTAATAGTTTAAATGAGCAGAGTTGGTTGTTGTTTTTTGGTTTTGGGGCGTTTTTTCCCTCCTTACTGCTTGTAAAAATAGCAGAGTATCTGAAGATACATTATCTGGACTGCCTGTTTGTCATTTATGTCCAACTGTGTGCGTTGTGTATCGTCTCGGGCTCTTCTGTAGGACTAAGTAACTTTGTAGGTTAAATGAGCTGCACAGCTAAGATGTTCTTCAGCCTTCTTCTGTACAATAAGCATCCTCAGGATGCTGGTTAGCTTCAAGGAGATCGCATTTGCAATGCCTGATACTGGAGAGCCTCCAGCTGTTCATGAAAGTAACAGTAGTACTTATAATGGCATGTGTGTTTTACTTCTGTGGTCACAAGAAAGGATCATCTGTAGAAGCCGGTATCAGCCCTCCCCAAAATGGTGTATCTGTCAGTTTCCCTCTTCATTCACTGTGCTTACTAGTCTTTTATTCTCTCCACCTCTTTGATCAAAGTTTACTCTAGGGACCCTTCAGTCCTCTGAGGCATCTCATGACAGCAGCATATGTAGTCTTAACCCTCTGGCCAAGTGGGAGGACACATGGTCTTGTGCTGGCTCCTGTCCCTTAATAGCTGGCAATGTCGGCATGTGGGTAACATCTAACAGGTACCATAGAAACTTGATGTAGATGTTCTCATTGCCGTCTGCACCCTAAAATTCTTCCCCTGGAGGAATTATTTAAACACTATGACATACATGTTCTTCCCAGCCCCTGCCAGGTGGCTATACTGACAGGTCCTATTTTTACAGAATCATGTTTATGCTGGCCACTAAATATCAACATATTTTTTAAAATATGTGTTTTATGTTGTCCTAAATTTTTTTCCAGGTGAACTGATGACGGTTGCTAGATGGATGAGAGAATTTATAGCACACCATCCTGACTACAAGCAAGATAGCGTAATAACTGATGACATGAACTATAGCCTTATTTTGAAGTGTAACCAAATTGCAAATGAATTATGTGAATGCCCAGAGTTACTAGGACCAGCATTTAGGAAAGTAAAATACAGTGGAAGTAAAACTGACTCTTCCAACTAAACTTCCTGCAGAAAGAGAAATGCATTACTGTTTGATTGAAGGACTGACTGCAGGGACACTGACTCTCAGCCCATGTGTATGGTATGAAGACCAAATGATAAAACTGCAGTGTTGCCTGGGCCAGAAATTGATTTAGAGACTTCCTTCAGTAGGTAAATATAGAGTTTATACAGTGTACATGTACATAGTAAAGTATTTTTATGATTAACAATGTATTTTAATAACATTGTATCTAAAGTCATTGTGAATTGGCTTGTACATTTTTGAATTCTTACTCTGGAGCAAATACTGTCTAAGCCGTTTTCTAAATGTAATGTGCTGATAATTGTACAATACCTAGCATTCCAGAGTTTAAAATGTTTACTGTAAATGTTCCTTTAAAGACTACCTGGGACCTGATTCACCAGGTTAAGATTCATAACTTAACTTTACACTTTTCTTTTTTTAAAGTCTTCTTTGTATGTACATAAAATTGCTGGAATTCATTAAGGCACCCAGTGGTAATCTTGGATTCCTGGCACCTCATTTATGATGCAGCTGACCACCTTACCCCAGGCTTTCCCCACTGATAGGATCCATTGAACTCTGGAGGCTATTTAAAGAAACTTTCCTCCTTTGTTGTTTTAAATTTGCTGACTCAGGCATTAAGTTGAGAGACAATGCTGTTGGAGGAAGGGAGACTGTTGCCCAGAGTTCCTATGTAGATTTTGGGTGGTGTTTTTTGTTTGTTTGTTTTTGAACTAAAAAGGGGAGGGGCTCATTTGTCATCCTGTACACAGGCAGTCTGTCAAAAGCAGCATCAGCTCTTCTGTTTGTTGGCCTGATGTTCTGATAGCTGCTCTTTGCTTAAATTTCAAATCAGTTGCAGTTGGTGAAGTTTGGTTTTGTTATTCTTTCTCTGGTTTTCAGTAAGCATAGTGATGAGTTTTCTTCTAAAAGCTGATTGCTCCAGAATTTACCTGGGGTTAGGGTAAATACATATTGCTTATCTTTATAAAACTCATAAATAAATCATGAAATGCACTAAGTTTTGTGAATCAGGACCCTAAATGTTTAATTGTAAATAATTTAAGTTTCTGATAATTTTTGTTATAGCTTTTTGTTAAAGTTTTGTTGGTGTTTTTCCCCCAGTTTATTAAAAGTCTGAACAGCTTCAGAAATAACTGTTAAATTATAGATTATGCAAAACCTTACAGGCACAGATATTTAAAGTGTAAAGCTAATTTTAAGAGATTGCAATAAAGCTGCTTCAGCTAAAACTTTATGTTTAAATACTAGGGTCTGTTATATATTTCATACATGTATTTTAGAGGATGAAAGAATGTTTTTCCTTTGCTATTCACTTGTATAAATCAAGTTGTAAAAAGGCTGATAAACTAAAATGTTTGTGGTATGAGGAAATAAAAGAATGGAATTAGCATTCAGAAGAACTCTTGAATGTATGTGAGTTGTACAACTATAGATAGCAGTAGAGATTTTTGTTTTCTTTAATTAGCCCAGATTCCATGAAATTGTTTTTTCATCATAGCAATTTTCAGATGATTTAGAAGGAAACATAATAATAAAGACAGGCAGATGCCCACCGCTGCTGAGAGGAAAACGCCTTGAAGTGTGGCTGACACACTGAAGTGAACTTTTCTTTCACCACTGCACTGGGTCCATGGTGACATGGGGAACATTGAGTGCTCAGGATGTTGTATGCACTTGCTAATTGAAACTGGAGACAGACTGAGAATCAGCAAGTGCTACAGAGAGCTGTTCCCAGCCCATGTCTTTGAATCAATATCTCCAGCCATCCTGCCACCATTCACACACACAGTTCATGGAATAATGTGCTTCCCCTAAGGCAGTACACTTCCCAGAGCTCTGAACTTCTTTATCTGAAGGATCCTAGGGCAGTGCTTATCAATTAATCTGCCTGTGAAGCTCTTGGGGGTCTTACTCTGCTCAATGAGTCTGGGGAGGGGCCTGTGTTTCTCATCTCTGCATTTCTAACAAGCTTCCGGTAATACTGACAGCTGCTGGTCTGTCTGTGGGCCTCAAGAATAACAAGGATTTGGTACTTTTTGTACCAAAGTTCTTAGACAGATGTATTTAACATCTCCTATAATTGCCTTTAATTCTAATGGGATATGTCTAGATTTTTCTCTTTCTTACTAAATTTTAAACCACGGAATACTGCTCTTTCCCCAAGAGAAAGTCAACCAAGCCCTCCAACTTTTATGAACTTTGCCATATGAACATAGCTGAGGACTCAGAATTATGAATGTTGAAATAAAAGGTATTTTCCCCTTGGTAGAGATACCCGTTGCTGAGCCCAGACTCTCAGACCCTCACTTTGAACACACTGTTACATAAGACTGCTTCTAACAACCCAAAATTTGGCTTCCTGCTGCTCACTCTCCTGCATTGGTAAGAGGTTCCCCCTGATCCTTGATGCTTCTGTCATCCAGCCCCATCTCTGAGACTGCTTGTAAGCCCTTCTGTTCATAAATGGAGCTGATATAAAAACCAAGAGATGGAGAAGTCTGGAACATGGTGCAGGTTAGGCCATGTCTCTGAGGATTTGGGAGCTTTCTCTAGGACCTGAAACCTTGCAAACAGAAAAGGTAGAATTAGCTTTCAAGCTTCTTGTCGCAATGACATGAGGGAAGGAAGCAGGAGGGAAGTGGTCTGTGATGTTAGAGCCTTTCAAGGTACAGTTAGATGAGAGACCCTTAGTTGCCTGTTTTCAGAGATCCTGATGAGTTTTTCCATTGAGGTTAAGGCTCCCACACTCCATGAAGATGAGCCATGAGTTCTACCAATTGCTCTCTCTAAATTGCTTTTATGTAAATATTTAATTTTCCCTATAAACACTTTGGGAATATATGCCAAGTAATACTTGGAAAAGTACAAGTGGGAAGAATATCTCAGACTGCTCGAACAGAATTCTGTGGACTGAGTGACTTAAACAACAGACATATATTTCCCATTGTTTTGAAGGCTGGAAGTCCAAGATCAGTAATGACCAAATTTGTTCCTGGTAAGGACTCTTCCTGATTTGTAGATTGCTGCCTTTGTACAGTATCCTGGTCATCTCTGTGTCTCTGATAAAGGAACTAATCCCGTTCTTGAGGGCTCCACCCACATGAACTAATCACCTCCCAAAGGCCCTCCCCCACTCCAAATGCCTTCACATTGAAGTTAGGCTTTGTTGTCTTTTGAACATGTTAATGCAGGAATATTCCAAGGCAAATTGGTTAGATTATGGGAGCAGTAACCTAATTAGTCCATTCTAGTTTGATTGGGCTGACTGGGTGGCAACTGAGGACAGGCAAGGCATGGCTGGAGGAGGTGCATAACTGGGGGCATGCTCTGGAAAGATGCATCTTCCCTGTACTGCTTTCTTTCCCCTTTTCTTTCTGCGTCATGGCCCTGCCATGAGCTGAGCAGCTTCCCTCCATCGGGGGCCTTCCCCCATGATGTGCTGCCTCACTTTGGGCCCAGAGCAGTGGCGACAGCCATCTATGGACTGAGATCTCCAAAACTATAAACCCCAATAAGCTTTTCCTCAGGTCTTTTTGGTCACAGCAATGCAAAAGCTGACTAAAGCAGGCTTCAACCTAGGAACTTTAGGGATACACAAACCAAATGAATTGGTAAGAAGTGAGCTAAAATTGAGACTTTGGTGGGTGACCTTTGGCTGGAAAAGATACACTCCTTGGATTGTTGCTTTCTCAGTAAGCAGAGGCTAAAATAGACTGGATAATCCCCAGGCCCTCTTTTTAACACTTTTAACACTAAACAGTCCGTAAAATGAAACAAAGCTAACTACGCAAGATAGATTGAAAAAGAACAATGAAGGACAGAACAGTGATACAAAGGAACTGCCAGGCAGGGATGAACCACAAATGTGTTGAGTGAAAGAAGCCAGAGGCAGAGGAATGTGTGCTGTGTGCTGCATTAACAAGTTCATGAAGAGAATGCCAAGTGATGTTGAAGTCCTACTAGTGATCACCTCTGAACAGCAGTGAGCAAGTACTGACTAGAGGCAGAAACTGGGCTGCTAGACATGTTTTATGTCTTAATCTCAGTGATGAGTCATGGTAGGCTTCAAAATCACTGAGCTGTTCACTTAAGATGGGGCACTTGACACATTTTTATAAGTTCGCTACACCTCAAACAAAAAAAGTAAAAAGAAAGGACGTGAAAGCCAGGCTCAGTGGCTCTGCTCRGGAGGCTGAGACAGGAGGATTGCAAGTTCAAAGCCAGCCTCAGCAAAAGCAAGTGCTAAGCAACTCACTGAGACTCTGTCTCTAAATAAAATACAAAATAGGGCTGGGGATGTGCTCAGTAGTCAAGTACCCCTGAGTTAATCCCCAGTTACCCCAAYCCCCCAAAAAGGAGAAAAGCAAAAAAGAAAATGAGAGAAAACTTGTTCTCTGCCTGTGGGTTGTGTGTTGAATAAGTGCTTTTTTTACACTCCTTGAATATATTATGCATTTATTATAGTATCTTTGGTGAAAGCAGTTGAAGAGCTAAGCATCTCCATCAAAATTGTCGGATTCTGAAGTTCTCAGGAAGCTTTTCAGGACTGGGTTCAGATAGGACAAAAGTATTTCTGGCAAGTAAGTAAGAATAGAGAACCAAAATGTAGTTCAAATCCTAATATTTTCACGTAGTAGCTGTGTGACTTCACGCAATTTACAGAACTAACCTCTGTCTCCATTTCATCTGTAAAAGATCTGAGAATACCGTGCAGAGTTGCAATGAGGAGGGAATGAGTGACCACGTCAAAGTCAAGTACATAGACTATCTCAGGCAAGCTTTTTACCTCTAAGAGTCTGAGGACACTGGTATTAATGATGAAACAACCTGTATCAACTTTCTATCAACAGAACTTTTGTATTTTAATATTTACCTTTTAGTTGTAGTTGGACACAATACCTTTATTTTATTTATTTTTATGTGGTGCCAAGGAACGAACCCAGGGCCTCACACGTTTAGGTGAGCACTCTACCGCTGAGCTATAACATCAGTCCCCCAACATAACATTGTCTTAACAGTTTTCTTTAAAATAGTTTACCCTTCCAACCATGCAAGAGAGATAGAAAAAAAATCAATTATACTGATAATTTGAGAACTAAGATATCTGGAGGCAAACATGAAACTTGAGAAGCTTCTTATGTGAGTGTTTTTTTTTCTGTCACATGACCTCTCAAACCTGGTCCTGATGAGTTTCCTAAAAAAATAAAATTGACTTAGTCCAAAATGTGTTTTGAATACTATTAACCTTCTGATGAAGTAGAGATTAGAGATACCTGGCAAATTCAGGACACTTGGATATAAATGACAGACCACTCCCATACCAACCCATTTTAGATAAAAAAGAAATCTTTCTGCTTGCATAGCCAAAATGTCCAAAAGGTGGCACTAGCTGCAAGCATAAGTTATTGTAGCCCAAGTGCCAAGTCCTTGACTCTCCATCTTTGGCCTGCACTTTCTATTTAAAATGTTTTTATTCCGAGACAGTCTTCATCCATGGAACATTCTTCCTGACCCTGTGTCCTCCAACCCCTCAACAGCTTCAGCAACTCCAGTTGTTC